GTTCTGACTCTTGGCTCTGGTGGTTTGGGAAGTTACCAGCTGGTCTGAGGTTTCAGTCCTCGGAGCAGTGTTGGCAGAACAGAAGGTGTATTCCCACCTGGGCTGCATCCGTTCATTTGGAGCCAAACTGCACTAGCAGCTTGAACTAAGCCACTGGCCTTCGTGCAAAAGTAGCTGAGGTGCAGTATGTTTGCTGGCTTCCCCGTCCCTGACCGTCGGCCCCTCTGCTGGTTACTGCCCTCCCAGTAACTTGAAACTGATAAAGCAAATGCTAAACCTCTTTCATCAGTATTCTCAGACAGCGTTCAGCTTCCGGATTGTCTGCCGCTAATTACAGGGAATAAACTCAGCAGGATTTTTAGGCCGTACAACTGTCTGTTGGTTTGGACTAATGCAGTCAAGAATAAATTCTTACATTCTTAACTTGCAGCTTTTCGTCGGAGAGGATGATAAAAAAAAATGAAGCTTATTTATGAGTTTAGTAGTAGGGGTCTGTTCTTAGATTTTGTATGTGTCTTAATAGGGGACTCTTGTCACTTGTTCCTTACCTTTTGTAGGAAAAAGGGGAGTTCAAGTGTGTAACTCGATAACAAGCAAAAGAAGAGTAAGTCCTCCAGTAGCACTAAAACTAACGACAAAAGGGAAATGGCATAACCATCTACTGACTGCAGGTGACTGGAAGGTCCAGAATGCACGTGTCTCTCTTCTTGTTACTAAAGAATAAAAAAAGCCCTTCAGATGTTCTGCTACTTCCCTTCCCCAAATAACCTTCATGCATGTTTCTTTTGGAGAGGTTTTCGTTCTTTTTACTGCTTTTCCTCAAAAGGGCTTACCTGAAGATCACATGCCTTTGTAAAGTAAAAATAAAAACTTTTTCCCTCTAAGTAGCTTACTACTTAAGGTGGTGTAAATCTCAGTAATCTTCATGAGACTCAGAGTTGTATTCTTAAACTTTGACATGAGCTTTACTGAAGTTGTTTAATTTGAAAAATGACTTGATTGTGATTTTTGGTACGTAGTTTGGCATTAAAAACTGTTTTTGATCAAAGACTGATCATAAAATACTGTGTATAAAGCTTTCACTTTCTAAATAGCATGTGACTAGAATGGGGGAGGAAATGAACAGTCTATTCACTCTGAGATTTTCATTTTTAATACACAGTTTCCGTGAACGATCTAGAGCACTGCAGTTAAATGGCAAGTTCTCTAGCCTGGACATCAAGCGGTTCTCTTAGCAGAAGACCTGAGCGATTTGTAGACTCGTTCTCGTAACTGTACGTGTGTGAGCTAAAGAGCGTAGAACTGCATTCTTCTGGTTGAGGCATTTGCTTCCTGAGTGTCTGACCTGTTTGTGTTCGTGTTTTACTACTAAACTGAAGCTACTGTGGCTTTGTATTGACTGCAGTGGGATAGAGGGCGTTCATGTGAATAGCACTGATGGCAGGTTGGAGTAGGGTGGAATGAAAGACTGGAATTAGGGATTCTGGGGTGGTAATTTATTCAGCGAACAAAGTTATGTATGGAAAAAGGTATGTGTCTGCGCTGGATGTGGTGGTTTAAGCTGATTGTAAAGACAAGCTTGGAGTATGCTCTTAAGGACATTGAAGGCCTTGCAACTTGAGTGTAATTGCAAGAATGTGTATGGTGTGCTTTTAAGTATCTGAACTGAATGAGAAGCTCCTTGCCGTCATCTAACGTGTATAATATTTCCTTTGTCTTTCTGATTAAAATTTAGGAAGTAGGAATTCTCTTAAGCTGCCTTTATCCACATAGGGCAAGAACAAATATTTTGTACGTGAGTAGGCTTCTCTAGTTGCATTATTATAATTTTATCTGGCTTTACAAATGTTACATTTTCTCTGGTTTTATTATTAAAGTATTGCTACGAAAAACTTTTCCTAGTTCACAGTGTGCCTGTCAGTTCATTCTTTGCTGCAGAAAGAACTGGTGGTACGCTAATGTTAGCAGCTTGCATTTGTTCTTTTGATAATTAATATAGTAGAACCATCTTGTATTGGAGTTCCTGTGTTATTCTCTCACAAGTTAGTACGAAAAAAAATAGACTAAAACGCAAAAAATTGTCGAAATAGCATACTTTATGATCCCTCCTTTCTGCAAATAAAGTAGTGGTGAGGCTTCGTCTTTGTCATCTTCAGGAAGTCCAGCAATAGTAGGTGTGGGGTGGGAGGGAGGGAGGCTTCTGGCAGATGAGATTTTTGCTCATGATGAGGCCCGTAGGACTGACAGTCATTCTCTGCTCTTTTCTCCAGTGGTGCTGTGACTGCAGAGCTAATGATTACTCACGATATGCTGTATTTGGAGAACATCATTTTATGTCCTTTCCTTGCCTTCAGAGAGTTCTATAATAGTGGACCTTCACTTGTATATTGAGCATTTACTTTGAAATTAATATTCATTTTGAGCTAAACTTGCTGTTTGTTGCAAATAATACACACGCTCTTCAGCAACACTTTTATAACATGACATTTGTTAAAAAAAAGGAGTTAAACTGTTTATAACATACTTAAAATATGGTATATTAAAACTTTGCCTTTCTTTTGCCAGAAAGATCTTTAAAGTAAAGATGCTTTAAGAAAATGGAAACAAAACTTATTCCAGCAGTGAATCCATTACCTAGGCTTGGGTGGGGCTCAGATTATGTCATCTGTCTGAAAAATATTCATGCTTGTGAGTTCATGCTTAGTCTGGAGATATGAAAGACAACAGAGTGCACTAAACTGCTAATCCAAGTTTATCATCACTCTCTGAATATTATAGCTGTTGTTTAGTGGCTTTTTTATAATATGAGTGTTTTAACAAATTTTTGTGCTATACCAGTCAGTTATCTGAAGAACTTCAGTTTTTTAATTATTCTGGGATTTCTGCATATAACACCCTCACTGGGTTGATTGGTAAAATTGTGGTTAGGCTAGGAAGAGCAAAGATCTTTTTGTAGAGTTGCATGTGTAAGTGGCTATGACAAGCCAAGCCTTTGAAAGAGCAAAAGCATCTGGACTGCAGTTTCAGAAGTGATACAGAATATTTTTGTGTTGAAAGTAGACTAGTTCCTGCACTTGTGTGTTCATCTGAAGTTTCTAAACTGCCTCTTGTGGCTAGCGTGTTAAGTAATGCCTGTTCAGAATGGTGGAGAACATGCATGTCTTTCAGGTGCTGTTTTTATGGTTCCCTGTAGCTAGACCGAAATCTGCATTCTTTTCTTGATCCCTTGGTCTTTTGGAACTGTGACTGAGAAGCAAGCGTGGCACAGTTCTGCACCTTGGTACTGCTGTGAAAGGCACCGTGAAGCCAGACCTCTCCTTGTTCACCAGGCACAACAGACGTTGGCACCTCCCAGCCTTGCGAAGGTGACAACAGCAGTTTGTTTCCCTCTATGCTGTATGTGAGTCTTGCAACCTGGGAGTCTTAAGCACAATAAAACCCAGCACTCAGCCAGAGTAGTATTTTTCAGGAAACTGAGATGGAAATAGACCATATCTGGAAGTACACATGATTTATAAAGTCTATCTGAAAATATATTTTCTCTTCTTTTAATGCATAAGATGTAAAAACATAGATCAGTTTAAAATGCAGTAAGTTAATATACAGTATTCTTTACTCTAGCTCTTCATTCCCCAAGGAATCGGGGAAGTCATTCTGAATTAACGTAGGTGATACTGTCTTTATTTGGTGGATACTTACATTAGCTGTCCTCATTCTGAAGTGCTAGCAAGGGTTTTGGTTCTGTATTTTTGTATGAACTTGTGATGTATAGGCTGACCATTATTTTGCCTTTTTTAATGTCTAGATCTATGTTTTGCTGTGCAGACAAGGGAAAACCTGATCTGAGTTTCCATAATGTTTATAGTTTGTTTTTATTTTTTTTAAGTATCATGGTTAATTTTAGCTGTGTAGGTGATTTCAGAGAAATTTGCTAAGAAAGGTATGATTGGGGTTTAGTATCGCCTTTGACTTCATGACCTATAGAGACCTATAAAGAATAATAAAAACAACCCTAACATAATTGATTGCTAAATATGTTTTCGTGTGAAGAGCAGAGACTTTGGTATGCACAGGAAATCTGTATCTTCACACTACCTGCGTGACACTTCTGGTGAGAAATAAACTCATATGGGGGAGAGCAAAGGGCAAGAATTAGGGAGGCAGAGGGAGCAGACTCTGGAAGATTAAAAACAGGGGAAGTGGAAGCTCTGAAGTAAACTTCCTCATGTGTTATCTATACGCATAAATAACAGCCACTGCTGTTAGATCATAGGATTTTAAAACACACACCCTAAAAATCATACTTGCTATTTGAAAAAAAGATTCCTTATAACAATGGAATCAGAGTTTGAGTAATATAGTATAATACATTCATATAACTTTAAGTAGTATATTATTCCACAATAACTTCATATTACCCCTATCAACATACTGTTTACAGCTTTAAAACTAATATTTAGTATTTTTTCTTCTTTGTTAGGTTCTTGTGGCAGGAGGAGAATACAGACATGAGATGGAAGTCAAAACATCATTTAGCAAAGCCAGCAGGATTCCCGAAACTGTATCCACATTATTTAATGAAGATTTTGTCCTGGTTCATCAGCAATCTGAGGACACCTCTGGAAAAGATGAAAAACCTCAGCTAAAGGTTTACTGTTACTTTATTTTAAATGTGTAGTAAGATTTGTTTTGATCAAAAGATTGCAACTTCTTTTGAATATTTGATTAAAGATACTTGTGTGTGCTTCAGGAGACTCTTAGACTGTAATTTTTGTCCTTGCTTATTACCAATGAAATCAACAGCTCAGATTAAACAAATCTGTCCAAAAGTGGCAGTTCGGATTTTTGTTTAATAACTCCTTTGAGGGTCAGCTTTGCTGGTATGCTGCGAATTTATACATTTGTAAAGGACTAAAAAGTTATTTTCGAAGAATGAGCTTCAGATTAAAGCTTGGGAAATACTCTTTTTTTAGGGATCAGAGACTGTGAATGTTGTTATCTTAAAAGCACATTATTGGGCTCCATAGGAATAGACCACTGAATATCCTGGGTTTTATTTTTTAATTTAGTTTTCCTGCTTAGTGCTGCTTTAGGCATGACTAAGACCTTTTCTAAAAGCTTTCGACCTCTAAATAGCAGAATATTTTAGCGTTTGGATGACAGCTGATCGGTTAATTACAGATTTCCCACTTGAGTTGCAGTAGCTGATTTACTGGCTTTGGTCCTCTTGGAACAACAGGAATTTGTGCCTCGTGAAATGTCAAGAAGTACTTTGTCTTTACATAACTGTTTGGCAGTTGTTTACAACCGATGACTTCGGTCTGTATTAAACATTAGCTGTTTCTTCAGATTATGTCTGGCAAGAGGCAGGTGAACTGGAGGTAGAATTATTGGCTGTGGGTTTTTTTTGGTCTGAAAAGCTAGTAGTTGTGAAAGGCTGTATTTTTTTTTTTACTAGGGAATGTCTCTTGCAATTTTCTTGATGTTTCCTTAGACTTGCACCCCTCCTATGCGTGGGACAATTGGTGAAACAACTGAAATGGATTGCATGTGACTAAGAAAGTATAATTTTCGTAAAGACTAATCTATATCAAAATCTGTTGATCTTTGTTCTGAATGAAGGATCTAAACACACAAACCTGTTATTTTAAGAGAGGTCTGTAGTTTTTGGATGGTTGTTGGATTAGCAGTGAGAATATGTGCATTATATGTAATGGGATGGGACACTGGTTTATGTTTGATTTAATTTCGTTGATTCTTAGTGTGTTGTCTTGTTCAGCAAAGTTTCTTAACTTTTACAATGTGTAAAGACTGTATGTTTGGAAAACAATAGGGAAAGTAAAACTACAAGTACCTTTAAAAAAATGTCATGTCCTTCTGTTACAGGTGTTTTCAAATGGAGATGATCAGCTGGAGAAGGCAATGGAAGAAATACTGAGGGATTCTGAAAAAGACCAGAACAATGCTCTCCGAGAAGGTTCCAGTGACGCAAGCAGCCTGGCAGCTGGAGATGGGTCAGCAGGACAAACCAGTCAGCCATCTTTACACCTTGTTTTAGACCCTTCTGCTACAGGTATTGCTGAAGTGCTTCGCCCCTCAATCATATATGGCAGGTTTTTTTTTGGTTTTTTTTTTAATGCAGTTTCAAGTTAATACTCAATCTTACAATGAATATAAAGCTTTCTGGAGCTTCATTCCGAAACTATACTGGAGCCTCCTCTTCTTTTCCGATTGCTTGAGGATTACAGAAAGGAATAGATTATCATCAGGTTGATACCCTGTGCTGCTCTGTTTTGGTCAAGATAGTTTTAATTTTGTCTCCGTCCCTAGATGAGTTAGGGCTAAGTATTGTGTAACTTGCTGAATGGACTGTGGTTGAGATAGAGATGCTACTGATGGAGTATGAGAAGTTTCAGGGCAGCGTTCGTTGACAGAACTACCTGCAAATGAAATATACCCTGAGCAAAGGGATAAACTTTCAGCTCTGGTTCCATCACCAGGTATCAGTAAGGACAGCTTCGGATTTGATATTTGCTAGGAATGATTGTGGTACTTTTCTGATGTTTGAAGTTTTGTTGAAAAAGGGAGGACTGAAAGCTTTTTATGTAAACTATATTGTATATATTTTATGTAAAATATATTGTAGCACTTTATATATATGAGGAATACAAGGCTGTGGCCATCTCTGTGGGCCCTGAATTAGAATTCTTTTTCCCTCAGTAGTATACAGAGCACTTCTGCAGCATTGTGTCGGATAATTCTGACAGCATCTTGTTTTGGTTTCGGCTGCCTCCGGCAACAAAAGCACCATGCGGCCGCCCCTCCCCCCACCAGCGTGCGGAGGAGAATGAAAAGAAAGAGGCAGAAACTGGTGGGTCGGGATAAGGGCAGTTTAACAGAACAGCAAACAGAGGGAAACAGGAACAACAACGATACAGATAAGGAGAAAACACGACAAAAACAGCCCCGCTCTCTCGGACCGCACCGGCGCTGCATGCTGCCAAGCCGCGAGTGCGTTCCCGCTGCGCCGCCCCCCCCCCCCCCGGAACCCCGCGGGGCGGACCCGGGCGT